TTACTTGAAATGAGAAGAGATACAGTGGAATCTGTTTCTTTTAAAGATTAGTGAGACTTTAATTTATTGTGATAACAAAGCGACCTGTTTCTGACAGGTGAAGAGGTGGACAAAGGAGTTCTCTACAAAGAATCATTTACCTGTTGGCTTCTTGGTTTCAGAGCTCCATGCATAGAAGACGTTCTCTCCATCATTGGTGTTACTGTGGCCAAGTTTCTTTTTTGCCAGCATTTGATTGGCCCATTTTTGAGCTGCGTCATCCAGCTCAGTGTTAAAGGTCAGTGGTGGTGCACCATGCTGTGCCCTATAGGCATTGTGGGTATCAAGAAACTCCTTTTTAAAGCTCTCATCTGCAAACCAAACAAGCTTGAAGTCTTAGAGGAAACACGAGGTGGCATGTTTATTGGTTGTAGGTGTAGACAGGATGAAGAAGGCTCTCTGATTAAGCAAACATCTTTAAAAGTCATCGGTTGTTCTGACAAATAATTCAATGCACAGTGTTGATGAGTCACGGAATACATTTACCGACATTACGTATTTAAAATACACCATATGAGTAACTGCATCACGTTACATTTACCATCTAAATAGGTGATAATTAGAATGCAGTTACTTTGTTGAAATAAATGGATTACATGGGGGTCAGTTCCTGTTTCCTATGTCAGGCTATCCCCTCTCTATTCCCTGTCAAAATCTGGTAATTTGCATTGCCTGGATCACAAAGAAATATGATATAAGAGGCTCTAATGTAAGTGTCCTGTTAATGTTGGTGGCATCAGTTACACAACGGACCCGGAGCCAGCACAACAGAGCCAGCAGTGCACGGGCAGGAATGCATTTCTTACTTGGAAATTCCGACACCGTTTTACATTTAAAGAAGAAAGGGATGAAATCTGACCGTGCAATGCAAACTCTGTTTGCCAGCAGCCAAGCTGCTCTCAGCGTCAAAAGACTCCAACCTAAAGAAACATCTGGAAGTAAGTTCTTTTTTAAAAACTATCGTTAGTAGGGATGGGTACCGGTATCTGGTGCCACGATGGCACCGTTTCAAAAGTACCGGTTTGGCACCGGTATTGGATAAAACCTAAACGATACCCATCCCTAATCATTAGTCTACTGCAAGTACCTTGTTTTAGTTGAGTAGTTATCTCGGTTATGTGCCACTTCAGTATCTTCAATGTACTATTGCTGTGTGATGTATTACTATTACTGAAGGCTGCTCTCCACTGAGCTAACATTTTTAGCTGGTGCTACCTGAGGTTAGTTCATAGACTGCAGACTGTTACACTTGATGGCTAGTATTAACAACCTGCTAGCTGTGCAGTTCTGAAATCAG